GTTAAACAATGACGCCACATTTCTCCCTGCCAACTTGTACTGGCCTGTTCTAGGAGCCTCACATAAGTGAGCCCTTACACTTGATTTTTTTGTGTCTGATTTATGTCCCTGAGTTTCATCTGCGCTGTAGTGTGTGTCAGAATGTACCCCCTGTTGCAGCTGAATAGTATTGCACTGTAAGCATGTGACTGTGCCATACTGTTTCGGTTCATTTATAACAGATGTTGGGGTGCTTCTTGCAACATTGTGGTACTTCTATCTGTACCTATTAGAATTTTTGTTTTCAGTTCTTAGGCATATGTATGCTGGCATAACTCTTATAATAAGTCTGTTTAGCTTAAAAAAAAAAGATTTATTGTGTTTTTATTTGAAATGCAAAGTTAGAGAAGAAAGAGAGAGAGAGATCTTTCATTTGCTGGTTCCTTCCCTAAACTGCCACAACAGCTGGAGCTGGGCTGGTCTAAGACCAGCAGTGTTGGGTCTCAAGGCTTTGGGCCATCCTCGACTGCTTTCCCAGGCCACACGGGTGTTGGGTCCCAAGGACTCGAGTCATCCTCTGCTGCTTTCCCAAGCTACAAGCAGGGATCTGGATTGGAAATGGAGCAGCTGGAACGTGAACCAGAACCCATGTGGGATGTTGGCCCTGCAGGTGTTAGCTTAGCCTACTGTGCCACAAAATTGGCCCCTGCAGTTTAATTTTTTGAGGAATGGAGACACTTAGGCAGATGTAGTGATTGTGCCAAATTACATTCCTGCTGGCAGTGCGTGAGCGTTCTGAATGCTCCAGAGCCTCAACAATGCAGGGGGGTTTCTGTTTTTAAGAATAGTAACTATTCTACTGGGTGCTAGTGCTATCTTTTTTTTTTTTTAAGACTTATTTATTAGAGGAGGAGAGACAGAGAAGATCTTCTGTCCGATGGTTCACTCCCCAAGTGAGTGCAACGGCCGGTGCTGTGCTGATCTGAAGCTGGGAACCAGGAACCTCTTCCTGGTATCTCACATGGGTGCAGGATCCCAAAGCTTTGGGTTGTCCTGGACTGCTTTCCCAGGCCACAAGCAGGGAGCTGGATGGGAAGTGGGGCTGCCGGTATTAGAACTAGCACCCATATGGGATCCCAGCATTCTAGGCTAATTTAGCTGCTAGGCCATGCTGCCGGGTCCCCATCTTTTTTTTTTTTTTTAAGATTTATTTATTTTTATTGGAAAGTCAGATTTACAGAGAGGTGAGACAAGATCTTCTGCCCAGTGAGTCACTCCGCAAGTGGCTGCTGAGCCGATCCAAAGCCAGGAGCCAGGAGCTTCTTCTCTGTCTCCCACATGAGTGTACGGTCCCTAGGATTTGGGCTGTCCTCGACTGCTTTTGCCAGCCACAGGCAGGGAGCTGGATGGGAAATGGATATGAACTGGCACCCATATGGGATCGGGTACATGGAACGCAAGGAATTTAGCCATTGTATTGTAGTTTTGATATCATTTTTCTGCTAGCTAGTAAAGTGGAGCTATCTGCACGTGCTAATGGCCATTTGTGCGCTTTCTTTGGAGGACTCTCCTTTGCTCATTTTGAATCTAGCAGCTTGTTTTTTGGTTGGTTAGTTGTAGGAGTTATTTATATATTCTAGGTATTAATCTCTTATGTATAAGTGTTTTACAAATCTTTTTTTCTCATTTTTTGTGGGTTATCTGTCCATTTCCTGGATAGTGTCCATTAAATCATATCTTAAAGTTTCTTGATGAAATTCAGTTTACCTATTTTTAGTTTGGTGTCTATACTTTTAGTGTTATATCCAAAAATTCATTGCTGAATACAGTATCATGGAAATTCCTTCCATGGTTTCTTCAGAGTGTTGTTTCTAAGATTTATTACTTGGGCCTGGTGCGGTGGCCTAGCAGCTAAATTAGTCCTCACCTTGCACACCCTGGGGTCTCATATTGGCACCAGTTCTGATCCCAGTGATCCCAGTTCCCATCCAGCTCCCTGCTTGTGGCCTGGGAAAGCAGTCAATGATAGCCCAAAGCCTTGGGACCCTGCACCCACGTGTGAGACCCAAAAGGGGCTCCTGGCTTCGGATCAGCTCAGCTTCGGCCGTTGAAGCCACTTGGGGAGCGAATCATTGAATGAAAGATCTGCCTCTCTGTCTCTCCTCCTCTCTGTATATCTGACTTTCCAGTAAAAATAAAATCTTTTAAAAAAGACTAATTAATTAATTAATCAAGCAGAGCAATAAATAGGAAGGAAGGGTTCTCATTTGCTGTTCATTCTCCAAATGAATGGCTGGCTCGTATTTCTAGTCTTACGCATTTGAAATAGCGATAGGATTCTTCTATCTGTTGGTTCCCTCCCCAGCTTCAGGTGAGTGGCAGGGACCCAAGTACTTGAGCCTCTCAAGGTGCACAGGAAAAGGAAATCCATAATAAAAAATGGAGCTGAACTCGAAACCCAGGCTCTCTGATGAGGAATGAAGGCATATCCACATAGTCTTAATGGTTGCACGGATGCACCATCCATAGGAAATTTTCCGATCAGATATGAAGATAAAGATGATAAATGTGGTACCAGGGTTTTTGTTTTTGGCACTAAAATTCAAGCTCTGTGACTCACTGGATTTTTATGTTTGATTCATTTATCATTGCTTTATGTATAAACCGGGGTGTGGTACCTAACAGGTACAAAATAAAAATTGCTGTGTGCTGAGTTCTCAGAGCTTAACGTCTGATTCATAGGCCAAGATACACATGCGGCTAAATGGGTTGGATAATGCTTTGCTCACTCCGAAGGTGATCTCGGTGTGAGTGTTGGTTCGTGTACAGTGTTGGTGTGTGTACAGTGATGCGTAGGCAGCCAGCACTTCACATTGGCTCTCTGACCCATTTCCTAGCTAGTGATGCCAGTCTCCTGTCCCTGGGCACAGATGGTACTCTAGCTGAGTCACCTGTGATGACTGTCAGGGTGGACCTTGTGGCCGTGGTTTCCGATAGAACCATTCTTTCATAGCTATTACTAAATTTACAGTAACCCAGTATGCTGTTAGGGATGGGCAAGTAATTCAGGAATACTTAGACAGTTAACCATTGTTTTGCAATAGATTGAGAATTTTTAGAAGACACTCGCCTTGGGCTCTTTCAGACCTTGACTCAGCTATTACAGATAATCATGCAAGCTGGATCTTCCTTTTGTCTTGAAGTGGTTCTCTATGCGTGTATCTTGCTAGGACATTTTGTCTCTTAGGATTGACATAGAAAGTTGTTTGTGAAACTTTTCTAGGAGAGGGGGCAGGTCAGGCCAAGGCTTCAGTCACAACAAGGCACAGGGCAGAGAAGGAAAAGGGCGGTTTCTGTTATCTGGGACTGGGAGCTTCTTTCAGATGATACGAAACAGGCGAGGGTCAGTGTTGTAGCCTTCCCGTATGGGTGCTGCTTCGTGTACCAGTTGTTCCACTTTCCATCTGCTCTCTGCTTGGGTCCAGCCACCCCTGCATGGGGGACCTGGAACAAGCCCCTAGCTTCTGGCTCCTGGCTTAAGCATGGCCCCCCACTGACCATTGCCTTGGTTTGGAAAGTGAATCAGATGATGGAAAATCTTTCTTTCTCTCTCTCTCTCTCTCACACACACACACACATACAGACAGACACATATGCACATAGCAAATCCTTTTTTTTTTTTTAAAGATTTACTTATTTTTATTGGAAAGTCAGATTTATAGAAAGGAGACACAGAAAGATCTTCTACCTGCTGGTTCACTCCCCAAGTGGCCACAACGGCCAGAGCTGAGCCAATCCAAGGCTGGGAGCCAGGAGCTTCTTGTGGGTCTTCCACATGGATTCCCAGGCCACCAGCAGGAAGCTGGAAGGAAGTGAAGCAGCTGCGACACTAAACAGTGCACATATGGGATCCCAACACATGCAAGGCAAAGACTTTAGCCAGTAGGCTACTGCTGTGGGTCCACAAATAAATCTTGTAAAAGAGGATCAAATTGGCTTAGTTTACTTTGGCCTTTTCTTTTTTTTTCCCCTTAGGATTTATTTATTTTTATTGGAAAGGCAAATTCACAGAGAGAGAGAGAGAGAGAGAGAGAGAGAGAGAGCGAGCTAGAGAGAGAGAGCTCTTCGATCTGCTGGTCCATTCCCCAAGTGGCCACAGCTGCTGGGGCTGAGCTGATCTGAAGCCAGGAGCCAGGAACTTCTACCAGGTCTCCCACGTGTATGCAGGGTCCCAGGCTTTTGAGCTGTCCTCCACTGCTTTCCCAGGCCACAAGTAAGAAGCTGGATGGGAAACGGAGCAGCCAGGACATGAATCAGTGTCCTTTTGGAATCCTGGTGCATGGAAAGCGAGGGTTTAGCTACTAGGCCATCGCACCGGGCCCTGCTTTGAACTTGGAATGTCAGATAGTTATATATCTCAGTTGCCTTTGTGAAGACTTGACTTTGAACAGACACTCTGTTGGCTTTACTGGCCTGCCCATCTTTATTTGCTCTAGTCCGTGTGTTGCTGCCAACTCTGTTATTTCCACTGTTTGGTTGGATCAGCCCAGCCCCCCCACTGCTGAATATCTGTTCTGTGGTCTCTTGCGAATGTAAGGCTTCTCCTCAACTTCCTTATTTGTGTGGAAGCACGAACTTCCCAAGACAAAGAACAGAAAAGAGTGGAACAAGTACGACGTGTGTAATAGACGGGTATGTACATGGCTGTTATGAGGGAGAGAAGAAGGGCACGGAACTACTGTCGGAAGCAACAGTGACTGATGCGCTCCCAGCTACTGGACAAGGTTGGGCTCTGGGACTGAGGGGCGTGAATTCTAAGAACTCTGTTTTCCCTCTCGGTTCCTCCCAGGGAAGGCCATCCCGAGAGACAGGCTGGCAGCTTGCTGTTCCCCCATGCTTGTTGGAAATATAGCATTTCCCTACGTGGGAGGAAAAGAACCGACCTCGCTCTAGAGCTTCTCCCTTGTGTTAGATGCATGGCGTCTGATTGTACTTGGCTTTTTTTTTTTTTTTCCTTTCAGGCTGCTTGATAGAAGCTGTGAATCTCAAATCCAGCAACCGAAACCCAGTGGTGCAAGAATATGAGAGTAAGTGCAGGAGAGATGGTGAGGAGAAGGGGCACACTGGGCGGGCATGTGGAGGTCTCACAGCAGACTCCACACACAGCGCGTTTCTGTACTGGAAGGAGCAGCTCCTAACCGCGCATGCGTGTGGAGAGAGCATCCTTCCCATCCTGGGCCAGCAGCGAGCTCTTCATGGTTATACTTGCTGAACTAATGATTCCTTTGTGGATTTGTGTGTGTGCAACGGAGAAACTTCTTACCCAGTAGTGACTTAGGATCTGTGTGGGATTTGTTCTAAGACCCCAGTGGAACGCTTGAATCCAGCATGGACAGACCCCTCTGTACCACCACGCCTTTTTCCCTGTAGCTGTGATAGCATTGCTCTCATAAAATTAGGCCCACTAAGAGACTGATATCAATAATAACATAACAATTGTAAGAAAGTTTTCTGATCTTTGCCTCTCTCTCTCCACTCACCCATCTTGTTGTGAGATCTGTGAGGAGGCAAGCGGAGCACGTGACACAGCCGCTGCGATGTGGCGTGGGGCCTCTGCGTGGGGAGTGCAGCGTTACCCACAGCAGTCCAACTGATAGCCATGACAGCTGCTAAGTGACCAAGGATTGGATCGGAGCAGATTACGCCAGACAAGAGCTGGTTCACAGGCTGCGCAGAGTGAGGCAGAGATCTCATCACATGGCTCAGAACAGTAGCAGCTTCCAAGTTGCAACTTGGGTATTTCTGGAATTACCCATTTGTGACTTATGAACTACAGGTGATTGAAAGCAACAGGAACTGCAGACAGGAGAGGACTGCTTGTATAAAAGTAGGGTATTTAAGGAAGGGTACACTTTATGTGGCAAAAGTCTTACTAATTATTTTTCTAGCAAAAACTCATCTTTCTGAAAAGTGTAGAGATGGCTAGGTTTATAATTTGTGTGAATAATCTCTTTTCAACCTGATACAGTTTACAGAGTCTGTGTATGCCAGCGAAGAGGACACTACGAGTGGCTCCACATTCAGAGTTCTTTTGTCCCCTTTTTGCTCATTAGGTGTGGAACTGTCTTGTATCATTACTGATTCGCAGACAAATGACCCCAGGATTGAATGGAAGAAAATTCAAGGAGACCAAACCGCATATGTGTTTTTTGACAACAAAATCCAGGGTATGAGCTCATAATACTGTCTACTGCATTCTCCTCTCTCCACAAGGCATCTACGACGAACGGCAACTTCAGACTGCCTTCCTGCACCCATATATCTGTGAGACTGTCTTGGTTTTCAAAAATTGATTTTGGAAAATGTTTGAATCCATTGACAACGGATGGAGGTGGTAGATTGGACCCCTCTGTACCTGGCACCCAGCTTCCCCGGCAGTGTGATCACAACCCATCTTTCTGAGAAATCACAGTGAATATTTTCTTAGACTCTCTTCACGTGGATGGATGGAGCGCGACCTGAGGGATATGAGTGTTCAGGGAGATCAACCAAGGGGAACGGGTGTTTACTGAGCTGCCCCCTCGAGTCCAGCCAGTGGCCACCAGCACAGAGGCGGCATCTGGATGCTGGGGTAGAGAGTGATGAGGGCGCCATGGAGGAAGGTGTTGGGCAGGAGAGGCGTCAGAGAGCTTTGTTGATGGGAGCAGTGGGACACTCTTCACTGCCGCCGGGGCTTGGTTGGAGGAGCCAGACGGGACTGGGGACGTGATGAGCTGGACCACCTGGCTTTGTGGGCAGTGCCGAGTGCCGGCCGAGCATGGACAGTGGGCTGTGTCCAAGGGCAAACTGCCTGGTCCACGCATGCTTCACAAGACTGAGGCAGTTGCTTTGTAGGAAAGAGGTGGGCGTTGGACACCGCTTACATCAGGAGACCTCGTCAGGTTTTGCTCTGGAGGTTGCAGACAGTGGAGAGGGACACAGGTGAGAATTGCTAGGGAGTGGCTGTTCCTTATGGAATAACCTCTTTATTAGCCAGTGGTGATGAAAACATGTCTTATTTGGCCGAAGCCTTTTCCTGATTTTGTTGGATGATGGTGTTTGTCCCTGGCTCGCAGGCTTACTAGTCGGTTCTGCTTTTCTGTGCTGTGTTCCTTCCTAATTGCTTCTCCTATTTGTTTTTCTCCAGGTTCCTTATGCTTCTTGAAATGGTTACTGTGTCTGTTTGTGGCTTAAATTTTTTTCTTGGGACCTGTGTGTGTGTGTGTGTGTGTGTGTGTGTGTGTGTGTATCATCATTTTAATATTGATAAAATAGTTATTTGGCAGGTACAGGTGTGTGAAGAAAGGTCCCAGGAAAAAAATTATATATATATATATAATTATATATATATATATTTCATATCATTTTAAAGCCTAATTTTCATTTGTATAGAAGAGAAAAAGAGAGGGAGTGATATCGATCCTATACTGGTTCACTCCCCAAATTTTTAAAATAGCAGGGCTGTGTCAGGTCAAAGCCATGAGTCTAGAATCCCATCTGGGTCCCCCATGTGGGTGGCAGGGTCCAAGCCCTTAAGCATCATTCGCTGCCTCCCAGGTAATACTGGCAGGAAACTGGATTGGAAGAAAAGCAAGCAATAGTTTGATGCCACAGTGCTAATCCCATACATTTTTAGATAATTTCTAAAACATCTCGTTCTTTTAAACTTCAGTTTAGTGCCGTTAGTATCTCAACAATGTTGTGCAGCCATCGCCCCTGTCACTTGCTTTTCATTAGCCCAACAGAAACCTCATGCTCACTGGTAGTCACTCCCTCTTCCGCCAAGATCCTGGCGGCCTCAGGCCTATTTCTCCACGCACTTGCCTATTCTGGACACCTCATACAAATGAAATCTTAACAGCCTTCTTTCTCTAACTTCTTCATACAGTAGTGTCTGTGGTTTCTTTTATGGCTGAATAATATTGTAAATATTGCATGTTGTTGGACCCATCTGGCAGTTGATGGGCATTTAAATTGTTTCCATTTTTTGACTGCTATTGGTCATGCTGCTGAGCACATTCCTTTGCGAGTTTTTGTGTGACTATAAGTTCTCAGTTCTTTGGGAGAGCAAGAGAACAATTGCTAAGCCAGTCAGCTTATATTTATATAAGCTTATTTATATTTATATAAATGTAAATATATATTTAAGAAGCTGACGTGTTTCTCTATATTCGTGTCCCTTCTAGGAGAGTTTACTTATACCCTTAGCAGCACTCTGTATTGTTTAACTTCATTTCTAGCAATCCTAGTGGGTAGAATGAGAAGGCTGCACGTGATTTTGGTGTGGATTTCTCTGTTGACTGATAAGGTTGAACACTTTCCTCAGGTACATATTGGCTCTTTGTTTTCTGTGGAGAAATGCTCACATCCTCTCCCCAGTTGTACATTGTTGAATTACACTCTTGATGCTGATACATTGTGGAGACTAGTCCTTTGTCAGAAGACTTGGAGATGAGGTTCCTGGCTTTAGCATCAGATTTATACTGAGTGTTCCTTACACAGCGGGTACTGTGTTACTGCCCGGATTACAAATAGGAATAAGTCAGGATTCTAGTTCTCAAGGCGTTAATTTAACTTGAGACAGAAACCAGTCTGCATTCCGCTTATGGTGATATCATATTCTCTGCCCCTTCAGGTGGTAGAGATCTTTAGTTTTTCAGTGCTCTGTGTCTTCTTTCCTGTAGGAGACTTGGCAGGACGTGCAGAAGTATCGGGGCAAACTTCCCTGAAGATCTGGAATGTGACTCGGAAAGACTCAGCCCTGTATCGCTGTGAAGTTGTTGCTCGAAATGATCGTAAAGAAATTGATGAGATTACCATTGAGCTAATCGTGCAAGGTAGGGATACAGGAGCAGGTAAACATTTCCACTGCTTTCTGGCTTGACGAATCTCTGTACAATAAGAGGAAGATTTTGATCTCTTTCCCAGCGAATCACCTGACTTTGGGAGGGAGGAAGTTTTGAGGTTGAGATTGCTGGCATCAGGGTGGGAAAGTGGAGTTCCTGCCTCCACCTCACCATCTCCAGCACATAACCATGGTGCTGGAGCAAGTGTGGCTGGCACGCATCTCATTGATAGGATGCAGCCATGTTGCTTAGATGTGAAATCCCAACCCATGTGTTTCCTACAGTGAAGCCAGTAAGCCCTGTCTGCAGAGTACCCAAGGCCGTGCCCGTAGGCAAGATGGCAACATTGTACTGCCAGGAGAGCGAGGGCTATCCCCGGCCCTACTACAGCTGGTATCGGAATGATCTGCCACTGCCGACGGACTCCAGGGTGAACCCCAGATTTCGAAATTCCTCCTTTCTCTTAAACTCTGAAACGGGCACTCTGGTAAGAGTCTTCTAAGAGGTGATGATGGAGTTGTGTGTTGGGGCTAGGGATGGTTATTGTTGAAAGAGCAGTTGTTGGGAGAGACACCGAAGCTAACTGGGGAAGGAGCTGAAAATATTGGAGACCGTACAGAAAGAAAACCCTGCCTGCTTTTCTAGACGGGGAAGTTCTAAGGGGTGCAGTAAGGAAAGGGAATGAGTAGGTTAGTGGAAACTGAGGGGAAATATTAAATGTTATGGACAGATGTTATTAGAGACGTGGTTTGGATAATTAGCTGTAAAAGCAGTTAGAGACAACCAGGGAAATCTTACTGATTTCTTCTTTGATGATAATAAGCAGTTAATTGCTTTTGGCACCATCATGGCATTGTGGTTATGGTTTTTAAAGTCTCCTATCTTTTAGCAATATTGAAGTAATTATGCATAAAGCCTGGTATTTGCATCAGAAGATCCCTGAGGTGGTGGGGGACTGGTTGGTGGGACAAAAATAGTCCTGTGCTAGGAGACAGACTTAGCAGCAGGTAATTCCTGGGACCTTTTGGCCTGTGGAGTATCTAACTGCATGTAGTCAGATAGTAGGCAGATCATGACAGGATACGATCTGTAATACTTATTTTGTCAAAATGTTGCCGGGTAAGCAGTCATTATCAGACCACTTTCTGGGATAACAGTAAACCTCTACCTCTTCCTTTGAATGTTATGTTACCAGCTTTGTTATCTCCAGATAGCAAGGGGCACTGGTGGTTGGAAGCTGTTAGTGTCAGGAGGAAAAACCCCAACAGTCCTCGAGAAACAACGAGCAGAACATCGGGTTCCTCTCTGGGCTCAGTGAGGGAAGGGTCTTGGGCGGCAGCTGTGACGTCCCCTCAGATCTGCCCTGTTGACTGGTCTGTTGATTTCCTTGTCACTTCTTTGCGACAGGTCTTCAGTGCTGTCCACAAGGAGGACTCTGGGCAGTATTTTTGTATTGCTTCCAATGATGCGGGCTCAGCCAGGTGTGCGGAGCAGGAGATGGAAGTCTGTGAGTCTCTTTTTTGAAGATTTCATCAGAAAACTAGAAAGTGAATAGAACATTCAGCGTGGCATATTAGGTCATCAGCTTAGGTAGCTGCTTCCTCGCGGGTCAGCTTTCCTGTGGAGCTGACTGGAGGATGTACTGGGGACACTGAAGGGAAAGGAGGACTCTAGACAAGGTCCCCGGCAGACTTTCCTTTGGTGTTGGAGATGTGACCAGTCATGTTACCTTCACGGTGAGTTTAATAAACTCCATTTCCTGGGTAAGTGATAGCATTATGAGGCGTAATCAGTTACAGTCATTTTTCAGGAAATTGCAGGAGCTGTCTCCGATGACGTCTCCACCGACGCACTGGCCTTAGAGTGCAGGTGTTGAGGGGATGGAAGAATGCGTGGGAGTGTCTTCATCATTCCCCAAGTTTTTCAGTTCTTCTCCATCTGATTTGCATCCGCCCCAGAGAAGTATTTTCTAAAGATCATTAATGAGAAGCATCTTGGACCACTGTTCCCACAGTAGAGTTTCCAGGCCCATCCCAGATGTTTGTGGATAACAAGCCTTCCAGATGGGGAAACCCTGCACCGGGGTCATTTTCTCCTGAAGAAAAATGCCGGAGTTTCACTGCAGACTACTTCAGGGATGGGACTTGAGCACTGATGTTTTAAGATCAAATTGCAAGTTGATTTAAGGGAACACTCACGTTTAAGAACTAGAGTACTAGGAAAAGGGAGAATTTTGACAGCTTCTAAGTTTGTTGAGTGCTAATGAACTCCCTGCATTTTTAAATCCTGTGTATAAAGAAAAACAGCCACTGGTGTTCTCCCAGCATGGAGAGGTGGTAGCGGGAGCTCAGGGGCTTTCCCCTGTGAGGCCTGGAGATGGGCGGCAGGTGGCTAGTGCAGGGGAAGGGCAAGGTCTCCTGTCTCCCCCTCACGCTTTTATCTGTATGTTTGAAAAGCAGAGTTAGAAGACAGAAATGGTCCATCTTCTGGTTCACAGCGCACATGGCTGCAACAGCCAGAGCTGGGCCAAGCCGAAGCCAGAAGCTTCTTCCTGATCTTGGAACTAGCTTTCTTTCAGATAATTCACAACAGAAGGAGATCCTAATCTTGTCCTTATAATGTAATCATTTCATCCATTAATGACAATCTTGGGCATTTAGCCAGAGGATTTCTGTTTCTTATCTATGAACAAGCTCTTTGTAATACAGAAGGAATTGTCACTGCAACTGAAATGTGGGCCTCTATTTTTTTTTTTTTAACCTGTGAAATCAGTTATGGTACCTTGTGTTCTAGAGGAGGAAAGTTTTGACCGTTCTGTTTGCTCTGGTGGCTGGGATGGGCAGTAAGGGAAGAGGGCTGAGGCTGGGAGAGAGGAGCATTCAGGGTCTTCCTAAGGAACAGCTGGTATGTATCATCTTGTCTCCCAAAACTTAGATGACCTCAACATCGCTGGCATCATCGGGGGTGTGCTGGTTGTGCTCGCTGTCCTGGCTCTGATAACGCTGGGCATCTGCTGTGCATACAGACGTGGTTACTTCATCAACAATAAGCAGGATGGAGAAAGGTGAGCCTGCCTTGCACGAAAAAAGCTAGGTGCAAGTTGACCTTGATAAGCCCATGGGATCACTGAGACGACCCTTTCCATCCACAGTTACAAGGCGCCAGGGAAACCAGATGGAGTTAATTACATCAGGACAGATGAAGAGGTAAGCAGTGGAAAGCTACGCGTCCAGGTTTGCCAGCAGGGAACTCAAGTGGGCTCCACTGCGTTCCCCAGTCCTTAACTGTAGCGTGCACACATTAACTGCATGCGCTCTTGGTTTTCGTTTGCCCATTCTCCAGGACACACTGGGCCCACGTCATCTGCCGTTTTTCTGATTTTTACTACCCGAGGCTTCATATTGTCTCTTAATGTGTGTTGACTTTGCAGGGTGATTTCAGGCACAAGTCATCCTTTGTGATCTGAGAGCTGGCATCGTGGCTGCGAGCAGTGCAGGCACCTCTGCTAGAACCTCCTGCCCGGGCAGCTGCCGTGAGCCTGCTGAGTGCACCCAGGACACAGCTACACACTCATGCAGAAGCTTTCTGTTTTGGCCAAAGTTGACCGCTACTCCTTTCTTACTCTAACAAGCCACGTGAATAAGACTTATCAAGATGGGTCTGGTCACCACGAGGACAAGCAGAACAGGTGTCCCGAGTCGGGTTTTCACACGAGTGTTAGTCTGATCGCCTCAGCTGTCGGCATGTCGCTGGCTACTCAGCAGCCAGACGGGCCCGTCAGAAGGGACGAGGCAGCTGTGTGACGCCAGCCCAACCCTCTGCCCACATTCGCATCTGTGAACCCAGAAAAGGCCTGGCATGTGACAACCGTGTCCCGCTGCCCACAGCTGCCCCCCTGCCTCTCCCTCTCCCCCACATTTCCTTAAGGCTCTGGTGGCCATTGTTTTAGTCATCTTGAAAAATTCTTTTTAGATCAACATTTTATTAAAAAAAACAACCAAAAATCAGGAGGGCAAATCCTTGCTGGAAGAGAGATCTTCTAACCTGGGAACCCTGCATGTCCAGGAGGGTATGAGAATTGAAGGAAGGCCTTCTTCGTCGTCTTAGGCTAAGTCAGAAATGGTACTGAAATACGCTTTTCTATGGGTCTTGTTTATTTTATAGAATTTTACATTCTAAATTTCTTCTAAAGATGTATTTTGATTATTGAAGAAAATTTCTATTTAAACTGTAAATATATTGTCATATAATGTTAACCTATTTTTTTTAAAAAAGTTCAATTTAATATAGAAGTTTCCAAGCTACTAGTGTTAAATTGGAAAATATCAGTGACAGTATTTTATCCAAGGACTCCTCTCAAGAAAGTTTACTGTAACATTCCTTTTTGCCACTTAATTTTTAGCATTTTTCATAAGGGAACTTAACAACATCTGTACATCAGGCCGTTGCCACTTAGGAAACCTTTGAAAAGGTCTTAGTCGAGCAGTATCCAAATCTACATTTGTCCAGGTGAACCTAAGGAGCTCTCAGGTTAGTTTTGAATTACCTCTTCCCAAGATCACCCACACTGCCTGTGCCCTAAGGCTCCTGCAGCCCGCGGGTGTCCGTGTCCACACCACACTGCTCATCTCAGGGTGCCCTAGCCAGGATGGCCTTCCCTCCCGTCTCCACAGCCCTCACGTGGCTCTGGGTCCCTCAGCTTTCCTGGTGGTGCACACACGTCCCGGGGCGCCTGCTGCATTCCGAGGCTTCCCGGTGTGACGGCCCAGCCTTTGGGTTCTTGTGACAGACCTCTCTCTGGCTGTGGATGGCTCACAAAGCAAAGCAGTTACTGCCATTTCATTTCAATTGTTTGTGTAGCTCAGAAGACTGTCCAGGGTCAAAGGCAATTGTGACATCAGATCTGACCACTACAGTATTTTTTTCAAGAGGCGCCCCACCGTTCCTCTTTGCCATGAAGAAAGGCCCTGAACACCACAGGTTCTCCGTCTCCTTGTAATAAAGCTTTGTGTGGCGGCAGCCAGCCTGGCCTTCCAAACGTCAGGAGTGTGGTGAGGACAGCTCACGCCCGAATCAAAAGTAGTTTTCTAATTTTGATTTCAAATAGTTTATCTGCCCGGGACACTGCTCACTTTGTGGGGAACATTAGACATCATCCAGAAGCCTTTGTTCTTCAGAGAGATGTTCTTTGCCTCGGACACACTGCTGGGTTAGACTCATGGCTTCTCAAAAGGAACATCTAATTCCATTGTGTGCCTAAAAGATGGTTTTTATGTAGAAAAACGTAGTTACCTTGTGATTCAACTTTGTGTCATTTTTTTTTTGGTAATTTCAGTTTTGTTTTATTGAATACTTGAGAGACGAGTTGACTTTTACTTTTGTAAGTTATGTGAAATAGTTTGCTTCGAGGTGTTTGGCAGAAGTAGGCAACCATTGCTCCAAGGTACTTGTCTTTTCTGCTTACAGTTAAGACTGTCCCTTCCTCTTGGCCCTGTCCTGGTAGACAGGGATGGTCCCCAGCTATTGGGATGTAACCCTGTGGCCCCTTCTTGGTTGTCGCAGGGATGGCCTGTTGCCTCCTTTCTCACATGGAACCATCTACTGTGGATGTGACAGAGGAGGTAGCAGGAGGGTGTAGGGGTGGGGAAGCAGTTGCCCGGAGCACTCGGTGTTAATGTGCATGTGTGTGAAGGCTCAAGGTCTGAGCAGGTGGTACGTCTGGCCTTTGATGCAGATGTTACTGTACATAGATGTTACAGACTTGTACTGACACACCTACAATTTGGTATTTGTTAAAACTCACAAAAGCTTTAAATAAATCAGTCTGCATCTTTGTTGTTTGCTCCTGTGTTCCTGGGATTTTTTCAGGTAGGCACTGAGACAGTCTCATCTCACCACGTTCTACAGGGAGAACAGGACCAGATGTGATGCAAGCGTTGATATGTGTCCCTCGACGCACAGCTTGGGGAGCTGTGGTACACTCTAGGGGCCGATCTCCCTGCAAGTACGGACATCCCATATGGGTACCAGTTTGTGTCCTGGCTGCTCCACTTCCCTTCCAGCTCCCTGCTTATGATGGCCAGGGAAAGCAGTAGAGGATGGCCTAAAGCATTGGGACCGTGCATCCAAATGGGAGATTTGGAAGAAGCCCCTGGCTTTCAATTAGCTCAGCTCCAGCTGTTGCAGCCATCTGGGGAACGAAATAGTGGATGGAAGATCTTGCTCTGTGTCTCTCCTTCCCTGTGTAAATCAGAAATGAGAAAATCCTAAAAATAATCAGAACAATAATTTCATTCTTTTGTTGTAACACTGGGGTTAAAAGATGGCAAACTCTTAACCTTTTTAGCCATTGCTAAACAAATATTCTTCGAGTTTGCCTAATGGTCCCCTCACCATCTCCTCCTCACTCCCAGCAGCTCTCAGCAGAGCTGCAGAATTCTGTGTCCGTGCCGCCCAGACTAGGCTTTCTGGCTTTCCGTAAGCAGAAACCGCATTATCATGTAGGAAAGGGTAACTGCAGTTAGGAGACAGACCAGGTGTGTGAGAACAAACACAAAACTTCTAACACAAAAGCATGTTCTCCACAGCAAAGATATAATGTTTCTTACAATCCTGCACATAAAATAGAAATGACAAGCAATGGAAACCCTGTTCTAAAAATAGGAAAATTGTATTGAATGTGGGATTTATGCTTTTTATTAATTCATTTTAGAAAACTGTACACTTCCAGGAATCTGCAATTATAAATAATAGAAAAAATATTTCAGTCAATGTTTTATCACCAACTGTGGGAAAATATGTACTAAAAGGAATTCAAACAAGCCAGTAGAGGCTTGGCTTATATAAAAGCTGACGTTTTTGAGTTGTGTTCTTTAAAGATTAGATTATGGCTTATCAGAATGGACTTGACACTTTTCAAATGGGATAAAGTTATAAAATTAAATAGTTGAAGTTCAGGATAAAAATTGATTTGGTGTTCCCTGTTGTTTCACATATTTTGAGCCACACAGTTGCCAGCTGAGGACAGGCTCAGGGAGCAGCCAGGGCAGCGCCCCCAGGCGCGCAGAGCTCCGTCTGTCTGCCCACACACGGAGCCCAACAGTGTTTCCCCATCCTCCCTGACTGCTGCTGGGCTGTCGTCATAACTCAAGATGGTGCAGCCTGTCAAGCTGGCCTGGTCACCGAGGTGCTGGGCACAGATGCGCGTGGAGTTCACGGATGACACAAGCTTTCAAAACCCTGTGGTTTGAAAGGCTCCAGGTGCCGGGAGCGACTGCTGGAGTTGGACCGAGTGGCTGGCAGGCTGTGCTGAACTTGCTGTTGGGTCCCAGTGGTGGCATCTGCCTGGCCACAGGGGTGAGCTGCAGTGGTTTGTATGTCGTACAGCAGGAAGAAGGAGAGGAAGAGGGGAAGAGGAGTGTCGAGCCCTTGCCTCCTTGGACCCCGCTGCAGCACACTGCTTCAGTTGGCTGTTTTCAGGGGGGGCTTTCGCAGAGACCTCCTGCTCGCGGGTGGGTTATCTTTATTCCTCGCTGGAGACTGCACATTCCATTGCTGAGGCTGTGGAGGCCTGGGAAAATAAAAGACACGTTCTGGCACTAGGAAGAAAAAGACTTGATAAAAGCGTTGACCTCAAAAGGAACGTAGTCAACTTACGGTTTATCCGGCAATGACAAACATAAAATGTCATTTCCTTGACTCTGCGTCTCAGCTTTCTCTGAAAGGGAGTAAAACACAAATTCAGCTTTCCCAGGATATCAAAGCTAGCAAACTGAACAGACAAGGAGGAAACGGAGAACTTACTATTGGCTGGGAAAGGAGTCTGCGGTGTCCCTATGTAGCTGACCCCTGCTCCAAACGTGACTTCAGTGATGGTGGCTAGGTAAAGGGGAGAAACACAAGTAACACAAAGCTGGCAGGAAACATCAACATACGCGAGCGGCACGTGACAGCGTTTTACTCTGGTGTCCCTGAGGTCCCTTCAGCACCCTCATGGAGCGGCGTGGATCCCTTCGCCAGCTTCTGAGCCTAGGACCTGACAGTGCAGAAGGCTCCTTCCTGCTGGGAACTCCCGCCGAGTTCCTCTCTCTCACCATGGCCTGCCCTTTGGCTGCTCTGCTGGCCTCGAAGCATGCACTGCTCACACAGCTGGCCTTTCACCTGCCTGGTGTCTCCTCCAGGCTCGGGTTCCTCCTGGAGCGTCTCCCTGTCCTGACGTTACCCCTCAGTGTGTTCCCAGCCACAGCAGAAATGGCAGGCATTGGTAACTACTCCTCCATGGAATCAGTGAGCAGCTCCTGTCAGTTCTGTCTCCTTAGGCTCTGTGCACCCCAACACCGTGCTCCCCGAGCCACCCTGGCCACTCTTCTACTCCTCTTTGGGTGGCAGGGGAGTATAGACCATAGACCGATGTAGATGGGTTGAGTTTTGCTTCTGTTACGTGTGAACTACTCTTGGAACCTCAAATTGCTTTATTGCTGAAATGGGGAAAAAGTCCTACCCACCAAAAAAAAAGAGAC